CAGATTCTCATTCATTTTAGAATTGATCTAATTTCTTAATTTGCTTTCTGTCGATTTTTATTTTTTTGAGTGAAAATCATGCGTCGGACAAAGAAATACCAGGAGATCAAATTTTCTCAAAAATAAATGAGGATTTTAAAAATGATTTTATTTTGGAAAGAAAGCATTGGCGTAGTACTTTTTCCCCAAAAATATTCAATGCGAAATTCGTAGGGATGCCACTGTTAGAAAAAATACCAAATATGCCAAAGATGTCTACAAAATTGTCTCAGTTATTATTAAAAAACTGATTATTTTTGAAAACTTTGCCACCCTGTATCTCAAAAGTTAAGGCGTTTAGGACATACGTCCATAGGAAGTTGTTTTCCTAAAATGGGTCTAAGAATTACCTCTTTAAATATTAGCATGTGTTCAAGGAACACCCTGTATAATGACTAGTTTGATTTCAAACGATTTATCGAATCTGTTATCTTTGAAGTATCACAAGTCATTATGCTGTCTACCAAATTTTGCGTCTGACTGCAACAAATATTTGATAAATGTGTATCGATGTGATCTGAAATTTGACTTGGTGGAATTTTATTTTCACAGTTATTCGATGATTTGAGGAAGCAGAATGGAAATTTCTTAGACAAAATCATTCCTGTGAATGGTGACATAACGAAACTGAATCTTGGTAAGTGGAATACAATACCTAAGTGATAGGTGAATGTCAATATCTCAGAAAACAACTTATATACAGATACGTAGGCATGATTTTATAGTGGAATAGTCAATATTTTCTGAAGGGAAATTTTCATGATACCCAAATATTTTGGTTATCACTCACAAAATAAAACCTAACTTTGTAGCAGAATCATCCTGTATGTGGTCATTCCTACCCGTTATCATTGAAATTTAAGGTTTCTACTTCGAAAGGTTGATAAGTATACGACTAGGTGCCTCTACCTGTCCGTTCATCGTTTTAATAGTTTTTGCTGAATGTTCGGACAGAACAAAATAAAATTCTTTTCTTCAAGTCTGTAAGCCATAGCCGTAGAAATCGAAAGAAAATTATAATCCTCTGGGCGAAACTATCAGAATTTGTTATACAAGTTACGTATAGTGTACCTGGTTTTAGTTTTTTAATTCAACAAAACGCTGATAGCTGACAGCAGCAAATTCAATAGAGATCGAATAAAATTAGTTTTCTTTCATTCTACCCTTATTATCGAACCAATCCTATTACAACTTTCAACACTCATAATATCATAAATAGCTATTTTGAGGATTTTAGAAGAGAAGCACATGACCAACAACGATGAATTTTTAACTCATTTCTCAAGTATAAATTCACAGCGGATTCACATTTTCAATACATTTTTCATTGAGAAAAGTTGCAGACTTTATGTGTGATCTTTTTTTCCAGATTTTGATTTGCAGATTTTCATATACTTAAATTATTTAATTACTAACAATTTTTA